AGGCAAATTGTGGTCTTAATGATAGTCTACTGAGTTCGTGTATTGAGCATTTAAAACATTTTTTTATTACATTACTACATGTTTCCTCCAGTGTAAAAAAGTAATCTTTGGTCCTAATGTTTTGACCAAGTAGGAAATATAGATCTTCTTGGATATATACACATTCAGAGGGAAATAATTTTTTTTACATGTAGAATAAGCTCTCTGGGAAAAGAATACATTGTTTAGCTTTGCCAACGGTTTATTTGGAAACAGACAAGTACTTTTATGGTTTGTATTATATAACCCTAATTGGACCATCCTTAAGCACATAAATCAAACACATTAAATACTTGAAACCAGAAACAAACCTGAAGGTTTGGCGTGGTTATGTATTCACTCTGCCACATATACAAATGCTTTGTTGTTTCCTAGTTTAGTTACTGAATAGGATGCCTTTAAAATGCAAGATTACTTTTGTAAGCTTTGGAAAGTAGTGTTACTGAGAACACTTGACACTGTGTGCACTGTTGTCTTGAGAATCAGCTCTGACCACTGCATGGGGATGTCTCTTTGTTTTCACTTCTAACAAGTTCTTTGCTCCATTGAGTGTTGTTGTACACTCAACACAGCCCTCTGCATGTGGGCAGTTTTAGCTCTTATTACGTTATAACTTTACTTTAGCTATTGCTAAGGAAAATGTCTATTTTTCTGACTCCCTAGGCTGATGGCCTTTCCAACATAATATGAAGGTGATTCACGAATTGTTATCAAGGTACTTTTATAAGAATTGTAGGGGTGATTAAAATTTAAGGGATGCAGCAAAGGCAGTGCTCAGTGGGAAATGTATAGCTATAAATCCAATATATATATTGGATTATAAAGACCTAAATATCCTAACTTTAGACCTTGAGGAACTAGGAAAAAACTAAATTTTAAAAATTTCAAAGCTAGCAGAAGGAATGAAATCATAAAGATTAAAGCTGAGATAAATAGAGAATAGAATAACAGTAGTGAGAACTGACAAAACCCACGTTGTTTCTTTGAAAAAGATCAACAAGTTTGGCAAACCTTTTATTAGACTGACAAAGAATAAAAGAAAGTAGAGACATTACCACCAATCATACAGAAATAAAAAGGATTGCAAGAGAATACTTGGTGCAGAAAAGCCCTTTGACAAAATCCAGCATCCTTTCATGATAAAAACACTCAGAAAACTGAGAATACATGGGAACTTATTCAACATGAAAAAGGGCATTTGTAAAAGACCCACAGCTAACTTCATTCTCAATGGTGAAACACTGCAAGTTTCCCCACTAAGACAGAACATGACAAGGATTCCTGCTCTATGGACTACATGTATCCCTCCAAAATTCATACGCTGAAGCCTTTCTCCTCTATGTGATCGTATCAGAGATGGGGACTTTGGGACGTAAGTAGGTTCAGATGAGGTCATTAGGGTAGAGTCCTTAGGATGGGATTAGTATCCTTATGAGAAGGACCAGAGAGCTAGCTGCAAACCAGGGAGAGGGTTCTCATCAGAACCTGTCTGAGCTGTCACTCTGATCTTAGACTTCCAGACTCCACAAACTGTGAGAAATAAATGTTGTTTAAGCTATGCAGTCTTTGGTGTTTTGTTATAGCAGCCCGAGTTGACTAAGACACCCACTTTCACCACTGCTGTTCACTATTCTACTGGAAGTTCTAGTGAGTGCAGTTTGACAAGAAGCAGAAGTAAAAGGATCCCAGTTGGAAAGGAAGAAATAAAACTATCTCCCATCGCAAATGACATGATCCTGTATACAGAAAATCCCAAGGAATCCACAATAAAGCTGCTAGAGCTGATAAATTCAGCAAAGTTGCAGGCTACAGATCAACACAAAAATAAGTTGTGTTTCTATACCCCCGCAGTGAACAATCTGAAAGGAAATTAAGAAAGCAGTTCTATTTACTATAGCATTTAAAGGAATAAAATGCCCAGGAATAAATTTGACCAATTAGGTTAAAGACTTGTACATTGAAAACTACAAATTGCTAAATTAAAGAAGATCTAAAAAAAAAAATCTAAGTAAATGAAAATATATCTCATGTTCATCGACAGGAAGAGTAAATATTAAGATGTCAGTACTACCCAAAGTGATCTACAGATTCAGTGCAATCCCTACCAAACTTCCAATAGCCTTTTTTTTTTTTTTTTTTTTCAGAAATAGAAACCTGATCTTCAGATTCATATGAAATTGTGAGGGATCCCAAATAGCAAAAACAATCTTTAAAAAGAAGAATAAAGTTGGAGGGCTCCTGTTTCTCAATTTCAAAACTTATTACAAAACTATAGTAATTAAAACAGTGAGGCACTGGGCTAAGGATAGGTATATAGACCAATGGAATCGAATTGAGAGTTCAGAAATTAACTCATACATCTCTGGACAGTTGAGCTTTGAGAAGGGTGCCAAGTCCATTTCATGGGGGAAAGAATAGTCTCTTCCACAAATGGTGCTGGGCCAACTAGATTTCCACATGTGAAAGAATGAGGTTGGACCCCTATCTCACACCATGTACAAAAATTAACTGAAAGTGGATCAACCTACACTTTTCCAAGCATAATTTTTTTTTCAATATCAGAAAGGGTAATGAAAGCAAAAATTATTGTAAAAGAATAGGGTTCTTTGGGAACAATGCATTTTTTGTGTGTATTCACTCTACAAATATTTATTAAGCAAAAGTAATGTGACAATACTCTGCTTCAAGGCACTGGAGATACAATAGTGAACAAAACCAAACTTGTTCCCAGCTTTAAGGAAACTTCTCGTCTAGAGGGGGAGTTAGACATTAATAAAATAATTATCCAATAGTGATATGTGGTGTGCAAGAAAGCGTATGTGCTATGAGGGCCTGCTCTTGGGGAAGACTTCCTTGAAGAGGGGGAGTTGGGCTGAGACGAAGGATAAGTAGGCATTAATTGGGTCAAGACAGAACAAGAGAGCATAGTTAGCTCCGAAGGTGTTGAGGGTGTTTGGTTGTGTTTCCACAGATGTGCACTTCATCTTTTGTTCCTTACCCATTGGCTACAGTGCAGAGTAGCTGTTTTCTGTCTGTATGTTCCATCTCTTTCCAGAATGCATAGAACATTATTTAACAAATGGGCATTCACTGTGATAGCAAGTATTTGGGTCTATGAGGGGTTAAATTGGTTTTAAGGTGAAAAACTCTGAGGCAGTTAAGAGTTTTCCCTGTTTAAATTTTTAAAGAAAATTTATCTTATTTTTAACCTCCAATGATTAAATAATGACATTATTAGGTGGCTACTTTTAGATAAAGTATGTTAAGTAATGCCTTCTTCATAAATTATGCTTTTCGAATCTGTTTATATTTTGATTTAAAATAGGAAGTTTTTTTCCCTGTAATTTAAGACCTCATTTTGAATGGAAGTCATTTGAATGGCTTATGTAATTTCTGCCAAGGAATTAATATGGACTTTCTATAAACCACTGTCATTTATAATCAAAATGCTTTTAACTTACATTGATGTTGGCATTAACAAGTACTGCTAGATTGGTAGCATAGAAAGAAATTGCATTTAAACTTACTAAGAGCTCATTGATGCCTGAGGTTTTATAATGCTTTCTGTGGACCATTTAACTGCTGGCAACTTTAATTCACATGATTTGTAATACTAGAAATTTAAATTCAATCTTAATTGAAAAGTGAAGTTACTTAAATTCTTTAAATACTAACCTTTGGGAAAATATCTGAAAAATAAAGACACATATGATTTTAGTGGCCCACTGCCAAAAGATTATCATTTACATAAATATCTCTTTCAGTAGAAGAGCTTAATATATTGAGCTCAAAATGTTAGAATCGAGACTTCAGTCTGGAAAGCAGCAGTAGACTGTTGGCTTGTGAACAGCAGTATTGTTCATCATATTGAGAACACTGTTCACATTCAAGTTTAAGCAGAGCTGGCATTAAAATTCAGTTAATTTGCTTCATGTGACTTGTCAGCTGTGTGTTTTTATCTAAATCTTTCTAGCTTCTCTTCTTAGTATTTTATGTTAAACTTCTGAAACAGATGAACTACCTTTTTAACTATTTAAGCTCTGAAATTTTGGCCACTTTGGCAAATGATTCTTTGTAACTGTTCTCCAAGTTTTTCATATCATTTAAACTATATTAATAATCAGTTTGAATGTCATTCTAATTTATTAAGAAGTAATCCCATTTCGGACGGCTTTTCCGTTTTGTACATATGTGAGTGAGTCCGTAAGAGGGACTCCCTGAAATTCATGAAGACAAAATTGCTGTCCTTATCTTCTCACCAGCACACTATTCTTTTCTTGTTTGCTAATTTTGTTCTCTGGATTTTCCCTCAGATGGCTTTTAATATTTGGCTAGCAGCCCAGGATTGGGTCTGAGCAGTGAAGAAATAGAGAATATAACCTTTTTTGAAAAAGGAAAAACCTGTGCTAACTTTTTTCTAGTTTATGTAATTTATTTAAAAATTATTGTTAAAAAAAATAAAAATTATTGTTTATTCTTTTCTTTGCAAAGGCAAGAACCATGGTATCTCATGATAAGCATGGAGTTTGGAGCCAGTCAGCTTCTCTTGTGCAGTTGTGTGTCTTTAGGCAGGACGCCTTATTTGTCTGAGGCTCACTCTCCTCGTGTGTAAAATGATAACTCATTTAATTTTCCCTGAGAGGTCCTCGCCAACATGTGAAGTGCCTGGAATACGCTACTCTCCTTCCTGTTTCCTAGCTCCAGTCCTGCCTTTGGTCAAAGGCATTATAATTCTGACCTCACACTTGTTATCTTAGTAATTTTGTAGTGTACCAATTTTTTTTCCTTAAAATTTTTAATGAGAACAAGATGTATAATTAATAAAGTATATATAAGATGTACATTAATAAAAAAATGTATAATATGTTACTTATTTTTATAAATAAATTTTAAGGTACATATAGAATTTTCCTTTCTAATAGTGACATTAATGACCTTTTTCATTTGTTTCTTGTTTAAAGAATATCAAAGAATATTCCAACAACTAAAGATGTTGAGCCACTGCTTGAAATAGATGGAGATATAAGAAACTTTGAAGTGTTTTTGTCTTCAAGGACCCCAGTTCTTGTGGCTCGAGATGTAAAAACCTTTTTGCCGTGCACTGTAAACCTAGACCCCAAGCTACGGGAAATTATTGCAGGTAAGTATTAGTAGTAAATTTAATTTGTCTTATCTGAAGTCTTCAAAATGTTTCCCATTTCTAACTTAGCTATATTAAGTTTGTCTTGCTCCATGAAAACCCAGGAAATACTGAACCAAGCACTACACAGGACAATTAATAGAAATTGAGGATTAGGAATCTTGACATCCTTTAGAGACTATTAAGAAAATGTTACTTGTTAAACCACTTTATTATAATGTTTCTTGACCCACACACCTGACTTCTTTGGAATTAGATTCCTTTTAAGATATAGTCACCACTTTAAGATGTCAGTCCATTGTAATTTTTCTGTGACTAATCTTAATAGGGGTCTCTGTCCAAAGGGGCAAACATATCTTTATATTACTTTCTAAATTTTAACTTAAATTTGTGGACTGGAACTTAAGGATAGTGACAGTAAAGTTTTGGAATAATTTCATTTATTCTTGAAGCACCACTATATGCACATGCACACACACACACATACACACAAAACCTTTACTGAAACACATTATCTTTTGTGTGGCACTGCTGACCCACGGTTGAGTTTTCTGGGAGTTACGAAGAGAGAGCTTAAAACTACTACATTCTTTTTTGGGTACCAGTTAGAAGGCTGATATCAAAGTGTAAGTTCGTGGCTATGGAATTGTTTTTTTCAGAGAAGGATAAATCATATAGTTTGCAAACCCACTGTTTAGTAATCATTGTATTGTTAGACCACTGTGAATTATTAATAGTAACACTTTATGGATCATAACCATTGTTAGAATAGCACAAATACCTTAGAAAGTCAGAGAAAAAATTATTGTTCTGGTAACTGAAGAGAAGAATCCAGATGTTGGTGACTTTTCAAATGGTGACAAAAGCTTTTATGCGAAGTAGTTGGATTTTCTCACTAGAATGTCTGTGGACGAGATTTTATGAGTCAGGATTTCCTGTCTCCTTTAAGTCAGTTGGAATCCTTGGCAAGAGTGAAAAAAAACATGTTTCTATCTGATAACTAAAGGAGGAAGTGATAGCTAGACTAATTTGCCTTCTGGGGTACCATTTAATCTTTTAGATGTTCGTGCTGCGAGAGACCAGATTAATATCGGAGGACTTGCGTATCCTCCGCTGCCTTTACACGAAGCTCCACCGAGACCACCGTCAGGCTACAGTCAGCCTCCATCTGTCTGTTCTTCTTCCACTTCCTTCAATGGACCATTTGGAGGTGGGGTCGTGTCACCACAGCCTCATAGCAGCTATTACAGTGGGATGACAGGACCTCAGCATCCGTTCTACAACAGAGTAAGAAAGTGCTAGGAATCTTTCATTCTAAGAATTTGTTTGGGGGAAATATCAGAAGTTTTCTGCTATGGATTCTGTTATTGTTTTGAAACTGCATGTTAGCTTTAAAATAGGAAAAATGTTAAGTTTGAATTTAAAATGTATGATTTTTTTTAAATCAAAAGAATTTTTAACTTTAATGGGTTCTAGATCTCAATTGAGTCTTGAATGTCAGAGATGTGTTTTGCTTTTATAAGAAAGTGAATTCCACAGGGTCATCAGCGACTATCCTATGCTACAAAGGGAGCTGTTTCTCTATTTGTTCATAAACAAATGTTCCGTTTGTTATATTTTGCATAATTATATTGGCATTTAGAACAATGATTTAACTCAAAACTTAAATTTCCACAGTATTCAGTAAACCTATATTTAGTATGTGTTACAGCTTTTAAATGTGAGATTATCATAGAAGATACTGCTTGTAGGATTTAGATGTTATTGCCAAATAATAGCACTGTAGCCCATTTCTAGAGTTATATTTCAAGTTATCTGCAGTCATGCATAATTGTTTACTTAGTATAAATATGATCATTTTCTACTGAAAAAGATGAAAGTACAATGATCGGTGGTATACAGACCCTATCAACTTTAGTGGCCTGAGCTTCACCCATCCTACTGTTCTTAAGTATTAATATTTTCTACAGGGTAATGGAGCATGAGCCCTAGTATTATACTTTCTCGAACTGTACACTAAGGTCCATTACAGTTTCTTATTTTTGTTTTCTCCCTCTTTAATTTGAGAAAAATGTAGGGGCTAGTGGTCACAGAAGCCAACTGCATGCCTAAGTAAATACCCTGTGAGCTAGGAAGAAAGCAAAGTTTAGAATAAATGTGGCAATGAAGGAATTCCAGAATTTAAATTAAATTTTCAGATTTTGAAAAATGTTGGCCATGTAAATACAGTTGACCCTTGAACAACACAGGTTTGAGCTCTGTGGGTCCACTTATACACAGCATTTTTTAAAATAAATACAGTACAAAAAAAAAAAAATACGGTACATAATCCCCATGGCAGTCATTAAATACCATTTTTAATCAAAAAAAAAAATAATAAAATAAAATAAAATAAAATAAATACAGTACAGTACTGTGTGTTTTCTCTTCCTTATGATTTTCTTAATATTTTCTGTTCTAGATCTAGCTTACTTTATTGTAAGAATACAGCAGATAGTACATATAACCTACAAAATATGTGCATTCAGAATGTTTTATGTTTTCAGTAAGGCTTCCAGTCGCCAGTAGGCTATTAGTAGTTAAGTTTTGGGGAAGTCAAAAGTTAATTTGACAGATTTTCAACTACACGATGGGTGGGGGTGTCAGCACTCCTAACCCCTGTGTTGTTCAAGCTCAACTGTAATTAGGGGCACTATTCATAGAGGTTGTATGAATGTTATTCTACTCTTTTACTCAGACAAGGAGAAAAAGGTGGAACAATAGCATTTTATAATGTATTCCATCCTTGTAAAATTTAACTGTGTGGTAGACAGTGTTGAAATGCAGGGTTTTATTTAGCAGTCTTAAAACCTGCTATAATTTAACATAAAATGGCTCATTGATCAGTAGATGACAGTTGAGGTTTTGAAACCAAGAAATTTATTTATTTTTTTAATTTACCATACCATATAGGCTGATGTGATGCTTTAATGGCATTTTATCATTTTAAAAACACTTAAAATTTTCTCACATTTTTAGGTCTAGTTATTTTTTGTTCTAGTTATTTGAGGTTTTTAGTCTGAAAGTTAAAAGAGGAATAATTTTCTTAAATGGCAGCAGTAAAAAGGTAGGAGAAGATGTTATTTCAGGGTAATGAAGCTTAATGAGTTTTAATCTTTATGTTTAGCCCATATAATCTGATACCTCCTGTTTATGTGATGTTGGCTACAAATAAATGCTGTAGTTACAAATCTCGCTAAACAATGGATTCCCCATTAAAAAAAAATACATCTTATTTAGGAGATACACTCTAGGGTATAGGATATAAAGTAAGCTCTAGGAACTTAGAGTAAAAATATTCCTGGAATCCATACTGGGGTGTTCTCATATATATTGAGACTTTTTTTGGTCTTGCTTAAGGCTAATCTTTTTTTGTAAAGAATAGTATTCTATTAAGAGTCCATTCTGCCTTTTTTTTTTTTTAAGAGATTGTGAGTTAATATTTGTAAATCACTTAGGAACTGGTACATGGTAAGCCCATAAAAATGTTAAGGAGAAACTCTTGTCACATTGTAAGGTGTAAAACTTTAGTTGCTTTTAAAAAACCTTATATTAAATCAACAACCTGAAAATTTAAATACTGGGTCTTAAATTTGGGTTTGATATCTTACAGACTATGAGTAAGGCTCTTTTTCTTTTGTTTTGTCACTTGCATTATTAAAAATTTGGAGTTGTATTTTATTGGTTAGTTTCATTTGATAAATCTCATCACATTTTGATTTGTGTAATTGTTTATCCCCTTCTTTTGTTACGTGTTTTTTCCATAGCCATTCTTTGCCCCCTACCTTTACACGCCAAGGTATTACCCTGGCGGCTCCCAACACCTCATCTCACGTCCATCAGTAAAAACGAATTTGCCCAGAGATCAGAGCAATGGCCTAGTAAGTATAAAAAAGGGTAACTAAAGTATTAATCTAATAAGACACATAGTAGCAAAAGAATGCAACTTATTTTATAAATAGTTTTAAGACACATAAGCTATTACTAACATAAAATGTGTTTTGTTTTCATTTCTGATAAATGTCTATGGAAGGAAAATGACTAGTGGCCTCAGTGAATAAATGTTGAGTTGTTTACAACGAGAGTTTCTGGCTTATAGTGCAGTGTCTGTTACCAAAACTTTAAAAACTAAACCTTTACATCTGCTAATTTCTAATATCTTTTTACAAAAACATACATACATGGTATCTGTGTGTGTGTGTGTATATATATATAAAGCATATATATATATATATGTTAGCCCTATGGTATAAAAATTCGAGGATATATTGGAAGAGCATTTTAATCTAATGGCAGAAATTAAATAGGATAAGGGAATTACTCAAATGTATGATTGAATCTAATCCGAAACAAAATACATTGTAAAATATTACGTGTTCCTGATGGTCAGCTTAGTTTAACAATTTAAAAAAAGAAATTTCCTGTTAATATATTTTTATAAATTAGAAGGTCAAAGCTCTAGAACTTAAACTGTTATTTCAAATTTAAATGTCACTAAGGGAAACTCTTTTCATGTCCAGGTTTCAGTGTTGTCTCTGATCATGTTAGCATCGTGTTCATTCATCATCTTAGTTTGGCCCCACTCACCTTTCACCCACACTCTTGTTTTGTGTTGTTAGGAGGTTATCAAGGAGGATGCTGCTGAGGGGCTTCCTTCACCCACAGACTCCTTGCGGGTAACGGAGTAGTCTTGTGGTGGGAACACGAGCCTGTCATCGCTTCTGCAGCAGTAACAAGTGTCTTAGTTGTGGTGACAGCAGTCCCCTAACTGCATCTGTGTTGTGATGGCTGCTAGTGTAGAGTAGCTGATACTAATCATTGTAGTTCACGGATTAATTTAAAAGCTAATGTTTAACTTTACCCTTTATTTCCTCCTGTTTTTCCCCTTTTTCAATGATACGGGATGGGCTCTTTTTTTATTGTCCAAGAAGGACGGGATTTTTGTAGCAGCCATCAGGAGCAGTCAGTTGGTGGTATTTGTTCCTTAGTGTTGAGCAATATTTTCACCTTTGATTATTTTTCTTAAGCCTACAGTTGGTACTGCACATGTGGGATACTTTTGAAAGTATCCAGAATCACCCTTGAGACCACAAAAGGACATTATAAGCTAGATGGTATAGACCAAAATGCATCTGTAGTGACTCATTCTTAATCTGGGTGTCCACAGTTTATGAAACCTTAGTGTGAATGTAGTACTATTTTTCTTCTTCTGTATTTTTATTAAAATAAAATTTCAAGATAAACAGAGGTAGTTCATTATGTAAAGGGAATTATTTAAACCTTTTTGGGCCAACACCTTAAAATGGGTTTCTTAAAAAAAAATTGTATAGGAAATCACTTCGTATATTTATTATTCAGGACTTTGTGTTTAATAAATATGTTTAATGTGGTGAGCCTTAAAATGTTCATTTACTCAGTGTGGAATTTAGGAATCCAATTTATATTTTAACTTCTGTTGATTTATTTACAGAATGTTATGCCCACGTGGACTTGATCAGTTTAATCTAGAGTTCTGCTGAAGTGTGGCATGACGGTTAGAATTACTGTGGGGGAAATATTACATCCTGAGCTTATCTGTAACTTTTAACTTAAAACATGCATTTGGGTAGGCAGTTTTTTAGCTTTAATTTTCTTTGAGTTAATGTTAGTAAGAGAGAGAAAGAGAACCATTTTGGTGTTTTCATTGAGGAGTTGATGATTCTTTTTAAGTCATATAACATTTCAGCTGAAGTGTTTGAGTGACTCCAATTATCCAGGAATAATAGACACAATAAACCATAATAATTCTGTTTGGGTGTTGGGTGAATCTTTAATGCATGGATCATTGCCATGATATGCAAGAATGACTTTTAGTTTAGTCAGAGAACCCTTCATACATACATTCATGCATGTAATGTAATTCTCTAAGCTAAAATTCCTTAGCAAACTTTTGATGAAAAGCAGAGACTGTGAAGAATTTGATGGTCTTAACGACACAGACATGCTAAAATAGTAGCTATTCCTATGCTTGAGTATGTGAACAAACCCTTGTAATTAAAAGATATCTGTAGTTTCTTTCAGGGACCAGCGAAGGAGCATTAAGCGAATTTAAAACGAGTTTTTGGGGAAGGGGAAATAATGTAATTCTTGTGATGTGTTTAGAAACCCAGTAACAAAGAGTAAAGGTGCTCTGCATATATTAGTGCCTTTGTTTAGTAAAATAACCGTACTGTTTGCTCATCTTTTAATATTAAAAGATAGTTTTGTGATTGGCTTAATGAATAATAAGTGCTTACCAAGCTTTCTTTGCTTTTAAGAAATTAACAATGACAACAGCATGTAAAATTTGTTTGGTAGAAGACTAGTAAAAATAGACAACTTAGTTCAAAGCCAAATCAAAAGCAGTGGTGGAAATGTGAAGTACCTGTACATGGGAACATTGTCCAGGATCTTTTTGGGTGAACCAGCATAGAAGTAGTTAATATAAAAATTATTTAGCCCTTTGTGGCTCATACGGCTTTACAGTCCTGTAGTAGAAAGTTTCATATTTCTGAGATAACAGGACTATGGGTTGAGTCCATCTGCTTATTCAACTGTCCTCCTGTATGCAACAGTTGATGACAAGAGCTGCTTATAGATAAGTCAGGAACCACACAAATACTTTTGGATAAATTGTCTGGTCATTACAGACACAGTAATGAGTAAAAATAACAACACTGCCAATAGAGCAAGACCATAAAGAGTTAACCAGCTGTTATTTTCAACATAAATGGTCCCATCTTTTTTTACCACAAGGAATTCTGATAAACCTTTATAAAGTAGATCCTAATGAAACAATTGGTTTTTCTCACATTAAGGAACATTGTAATGATTATAGCTTGTGAAGGCCAGCCAAGGACTTACCAGATAAGTTATAGATATGTCCAAGTGTTTCACAAAAGTGAAGATGTGAAATACAAGACTCTGTGCTAACTTAAAAAAATGATTTTATATAGAGAAAATATATGCCAAATCTTCTAAAATTGGGGAAGAAAATTAACATTGGACCCAAGATATGTTTCCCAGAAGATTAGAGCTAGAAAGGACCAGTAGTTTTCAAACTTTCAAAGCAGAGAAGTTTCTTTCAGAAATGAAATATTAATCAGAACTCTAGTTCATAAAACCAGTAAAAGCACAAGTGTGGCCCCCACCCTGGACTTGCCTTCCCTCTTAAGGATCCTCAGGAACACTAGGACCCGTGGCCTCATTTAGCTCCACAGTACAGAATATCATTCCGGACTGGGTCTGTGAGAGTTGCCTGCGGTTCACAGGAGGGGAGTGCCAGATGTGGGACTGGAATCCACATGCCCATGTCGCAGCCCATTCCTCAGACGATGCTGCCTTCTTTGCTCCTGTTAATACTAAGTGTGGCTTAGCCAGGTATTTGATCTTAAGTCAAATAGACCCTGGTGGTTAGCTCTTTGCCTTGGACAAATTACTTAACCTCTTGGATACCCAACTTCATCTGGAAAAAGCAGACCTACCACATAGGTCTGATGTAAGGATTACTCAGCCTTAGGACACTTTAAGGACTTTATTATTATTATTATTACTACACCAAAGGCCAAATTTCATGGAGCTTTAAAGACTCAGAAACCAAAACTGTTTCATGTTAAATTACCTCTGTCTCATTGGTAGGAGTAGTGTACAAATACACTAGTCAGTGTAGATTAACTCAGCCTTTTATCTGTTGATGCTTCTCTGGCCCAAAAGGTGTCAGTTGGCTTGTTTTCTTAGAATTGAGAAGGATTTCTAGGTTATTTGAATGCTCCAAATACTTTAAAATGTTGACAGCTTTCCAAGGAATTCTTTCAGTCCAGGTCCCACTAGAAGTAGTGGCGTCCGAGCATTCTGTGACCATGAAGGGGAGGACCCCATGGGGAGGACTTGTCTCAGGCCAGGGCGCCTCAGCGGCATTTTGTTACGGTCCTTCAGAGTTGCTCTTAGGAGTACTGGAGTCAGCTTTTATTTAAGGTCTGCTGCTCATGGTGGAAACTATTTTTCACTGAAAAGCAGTCCTTCAAAGGCAGGAAGGATACAGCATTTCTTTCCTTCTTATCCTTTCTTAAATTATTTAGCACTGAGTTCTCCAGGTGCCTGTGTGATCACTCACTGGCTCAACAAATTTACTGAGTGTCTACCAGGCACCATCCTAGTAGGATATCACAGTGAACAAAACTGATGAAACTCCTGCCCATATCGAGCTTGGGGGTTCAAAGGCTGCCAAGGGAATTATCCGGGCTCCCAAATCATTCTTTCTCAGGCTTCTGTGCCTCAGGGTTTACTTGATACCTTTAGGCAGCTGTATTTAGATCACTTACATACCACTTTGAAAAGGCATGAAAAATTGGGATGCCTGGGTGGCTCAGTCAGATAAGCGTCTGCCTTCGGCTCAGGTCATGATCTCAGGGTCCTAGAGTCCCACATCAGGCTCCCTGCTCAGTGGGGAGTCTGCTTCTCCCTCTGCCTGCTGCTCCCCCTGCTTGTGCTCTCTGTCTGGCAAATAAATAAATAAAATCTTTTAAAAAAATAAAAAAATTAATTAAAAAAAAGACATGAAAAGAATTAATACCCAGTGTCATTGTGAAGAACTTCAGAAGTGCAAAGACAGTGTTAATGACAGTATCCTTAATTCCAGTGTGCTGTTAGAGATCAATGAAAATTACTGAATTAATAAAGGTATTAAAAATGAAGGTCTTGGTTTTCATTAAACTGGATCCAATTGGCAGAGTAACTAAGTAAGTAAAAAGTAAAAAAAAAAAAAAAAAGTAAAAAAAGATGGGGCTCAACTGTAGATAATTTTTATTTCCACCACTGGCTTAGAACTTTTAACCTGTTTTTGAACAAATGTATGTCCAAATCAAGCTGTCTCTCATTGTTCAGGAGCAGAATTGGACGAGAAAGTTAAAGATGCCTTGGGTAAGGAATGGGCTTGTTTTAGGTTTTGTTTAGAGTGTAGGATCCGGACAGGTACTCGCTGCCACCTCTCAGTGGCTTTTCTCAGGGTCATTCACACTTTCTAAAGTATATTAGAAGTACGTTTTTATTATTCTGTCTCGTATGGAAAAGTATTCAACTTATTTTTACTTTAATAATATAGTGGAAAATTGTATTCACTTTGGGCTTGAAAGTCTTTGTGCCAGACTTAAACTCAAGAAAACGTTTTTCCCTAAGCAATTAATAAACTGCCACAGAATTGATAGAGAGATTTCCACAGAAATATACTGCAGTAATGAGATCACTGAGATACTAGAGTACAATTAGAAGTTAAAAAAATAAAAAATCACATTTATTGCAGTTTTTAGTACTTTTGTTTTTTTTAAGATTGCCCTTAAAATGTAGGTTAAGCCTCATCTGTCCACTTTGACCTCATTATTATTTCTCATGTAATTTGAAGAATAAGTTATATTTTCCAACTAGGTTAACAATAGCTTTCTTTTGTGTTTGGGGTATCTTAAACTAAGCTGTAATTTCATTAGGACTCCTTTTTGATGTTTTTTTCAAGTCTTCACAGATATATAGATAGATACATAGTAACTTTCTGAAAATCCTATTTATAAGGCTGGTAGGTAAATTAGAAAGAAAGGTTTCCGTTAGGTATTGCAGATATTGAGTAGGTCAGAAGGAGAACATCTGACATTAGGCTAGCAAAGCCCTGTCCTTTATTAAAACAATGTTGGAAATTAACTTTGAATCAATATCGTCAGTCATCTGTAGATTATTTTAACTACTTAACATTTTTTGCCACCAACCTAATGGGTACAGAAAAGTAAGTAACAGCAGTGGCATCTGCTTTGAATGCGAGTTTTTAAAAATCTACATCACTAAAATAATTATGTTAATCATGGTATGCAGATATTTTTTGCCATTACAGCATAAAGCTGTAAGGCTGTTAAGGCCTTTCTTTTCAAATGGTGTTTTAGTGCATCTGTCATGTGCCAAATGCCCAATGAAACAAAACCCGAGTTTGAAAAGTGTATTTCTGAGCATTAAGTATAGTGTGGCTAGATAATATTTCATTTTATGAAGTGATCATGTGAATTCCAAGTGCTTAAGTCTTATTATTAAATTGGTTAACTTTAGTTGTAGTGTTTTAAAATCAGAATATTTAAATATCAATTTTACGTTGGTATGTGGTAGGAATACTGACTTTTCAGAGCAAGTTTTATTTACCCAGTTTTCTTGTTGAATGTATGGCCTATGAGTCATTCGTTTAATGGGAAGACTATGAATTTTGAGAGTACAATTGTAAAGTTACCAAGCCCATGTTAATGCCATTAAACTACTGTGTGTGTGTGTGTGTGTGTGTGCGCGTGTGAGCGTTCCTTGCTTTGTGCTGCTGCAGAGGGTGGTGTGTTTAAAGTTACGGAAAGTCTGAGGAATGACAGGCGTGCTGCCTAAGTTTATTTTATGTGCCTGTTTGATGTTTTACTTAAGCTCGTGTCCTTCATTCTGTTTTATTCCTTCTTTAAAGCCGTGTGACTCTGGGTTTAACAAACAAAGACAGGTACAGAAATTTTCAGTGAAATCTTACTCACTTTTCTTATTAGACTATTAGAAGCAATCTTTGGCACTTTCACGCTGGGCTGTTGATAAATCTGTGCTTATTTCAGTGCCTTGGGTTTATTTTAATAGCTGCTTTCAGCCTTTGCATGGCACTCATTCTGGCTAATCAGTTCTAAGCTTATTTAATAAATTTACCAAAATGATAATGTTTCAGAGTGTAGTTTTAATCTACTTACAATATAAAACAATATAGTTACATCAAGGTAATTCCAGTCTGTTTTGTTATCTTTGCTTTTTCCTGAAGAAATTCTGATTTGTGTGCATTTTGAAGTTTATACTTAACAGTTTAAACAAACTAACATCTTCTTTATTCAAATATCCACATTAGAAATTTTTAAAAAATAAATTGTGATATTTGCTGAAATGATCTGTTCTAGACTTATAGCAGGTATATTTCAAGTAAGAATGCATGATAAACTTGAAAGTATTACCATCCTTTGTATTGTCAAAGTAACATGATTAGTTTTCTATTAATTTACCTGTTGAATTATTAAGTATGCTTTTTCCTTATAACTTTTGTACTCTTTCTCCTTCCTTTGATGAGATTTCCATCCAAAAAATAATTATTTTGGTTACTAAGATTGATTTGGTTTCAAAATAATTGTATTGTATGTGATTACTTTAGCAACGACCTGGCAGATAATTACCATTTCTCCTACTCATAGAAGCATATTGTAAAATATTTTAACTTATAGATAATTTACTCTATCTTGATAAAGCCCTACTTAAATCTAATCAAGAGTCAGACTATAGCCTTGATGGAATTACAGGGATCTTCTGTTCATGTGTGTGTCTGTCTTATAAAGCTTCTAAAAGTCATTCAGGGAATATATATTTTCTACATAATCCCCAATGATAAATTGTGGGGTTTTTTTGAGAAATTAAGTTTTAAAATAATTGATAAAGTGCAGGTTTTAAAGACTCATAAAAGTAAAATCATATGGAGCTTTCTCTTTGAAAGGACAAGAGTAGTATCTATCAGCAGGTCTCTGTTGCTGAGTTTCCAGATTCCCTGTGGAAATAAGATACTCTAAAAGTTTACATTTCCCCCTAAGCTGGCAGAGTTAATTTGCTCCATGTCTATTATACTTTTCCTTTTTAAAAGCACAGTCAGAAATAAAGTTTTTGGGGGATTAAGAAAAAAACCTTTTTACTTTAAAATAATTTTAGACTTAAAGAAAAGGTACAAAAATAGTATTCCTTTAATGTTAACATCTTTCCTAACTGTAGTATATTTATTGTTCAAGAGCAGAAATTAAAGTGGTACAATTCTCTTGACTAACTGTAGACTTTACTTGAATTTCACCAGTTTTTTCACTAATGTCATTTTTCTGATCCAAGATCTAATTCAGTTGTGTTTGTTGCTAATTATTTCTTAGAGTTCTCTGGTCTGTGACAATTCCTTGGTCCTTCCTTGTCTTTCATGACCTTAATTACCACTTTTAAGAATACTGGTCAGGTGTTTTGCAGATTGTTCCTCTGCTTGGGTTTGTCTTCTGGAGGTTATATATCCCTGGTAAGAGACCCATAGGAATGATGCAATGCCCTTCTCAGCGTATCTTATTAGAGGGTTGGTGCTGGGCCACAGTCTTACCTCTGGTAATGCCAACCTTAATCACTTGGTTAAGGTGGCGTCTGCCAGATTTCAACACTTGTGAAGTTTTATTTTTTCCTTTATAATGAATAAATATCTTGGGAGAGATACTTTAACACTCTGCAAATAACCTGTTTCTGCTTATACTTTTGCCCATTAATTTTAGTACACATTGATGTTATCTTATGTGCAACCACTATTACTGTAATGTTTTCTTAATGGTAATTTTCTGTTTCTTTCCACATTTATTAATCCAACTCTATAAGGAAAAGCTGTCTTTTATTCCTCAATCATTTATTCAATTATTTATTTTCACTTATTCAGTCATTTCTTTATATCAGTATAGACTCATTCTATATAGAATAAGTTATAATCCAGTATGATAATTATTTATTTTGGTGATCAAACTGTTCATTTGTTATTTTTGAACCAAGAATATCTAAAGTAGAAATGTATCCAGAGAGAAGAGACAGGTTGAGGAATAAGAATATTTAGAAGGCAGTATTAAAGATCATTTAAAAAATAAATATTATTCAACAATAAAAAAAATGAAGTGCTAGTACATACTATCATATAGGTGAACCTTGACATTATTCTAAAGGAAGGAAGCCAGACACAAAAGGTCACATGTTGTATGGCTCCATTTATATAAAATGTCCAGAATAGGCCAATCTAGAGACAGAAAGATTCCTAGCTGACAGGGGCTGGGCATGGGTGTTGGAGGGATGGAAAATGACCGCTAATGGATACAGGCATTTCATTTTAGGGACGTGAAAATGTCATAAAATGAATTGTGGTGATGGTTTTACAACTATGCAAATATACTAAAGCCATTGAATCATACACTTTAAAAGGGAGAATTGTAGGGTATGTGAATTATAACTCAATAAAGCTGTTTAAAAGGAAAGGAAGATAAAACAAGTATGGTTATTAAAAATTCATACAAAGGATTTGAAATTTCCATTGTAGATACTGGGGAATTATATTTTGAATATTGGCTATACTCATTCAGGCAGAAAATCGAACTATGTATAGAGATATGAAAACTAAACTATGGAAATACTGGTGTTTTGCTGTTAGTATTTTTGAAACATGGTACCTCGGACCATATAACATATGGCATATTTAAAATTTATATTTAATTAAAAACAAACTATGAATAAACATGTTTGGTGCAGGATATTCCAAGTCATTAATTTTAAAACTTTTATGGGCCTGTCTCATACTTGCTAACTTGCTGAGACTCCCTGTCATAAAATTAATACTCCAACTCCCTGTTCAATATGGTCTCATTCCCTAGCTGTATTTATATGTAATATAGATGTATGCTGTGTATATACTATTTGTGTATATATTTACTTATCAGTTCATAAAGACAGTATCATTTATGCTTTCACATTACAAATAAAGTTTAACAACTGGCTACTAGGCCGTTTTGGCTGTGTTATAGTGTACTTTTGTCCTGATAATGATAAAAGATAGAAAATAAAAATTTACACATCCTTGAGGATAGGATAAATATTATTTATTTTAAGATTAGATTGAATGGTAAACAGGGCAGATCATTTGGAACGTTGTCTTTATCTGCTATGCTAGTTCGTTTGTCTTCTCTCCATTATGGTTATAGTTTCTTTAAACTTTTCAAAAAGGAAAGTATGAAGTTGTTAAGACCTGATAAGTTAGGGTTCTGGCCCACATCTACTAACCAGCTATTTATTCTGTGACTTTGAAGCCAAAACTTAACCTCTTTAGACCTCAGTGTCCACATCTGTAATTGAGGCGATCCATGTATAATGGACCACAGGGCAAATACTTCTTTAGTATGTCACCACATTCAGAAAACATTTTTCTTCTAAATAAATACTAGATTATTTATTATTGTGATTTTTCTTTTAAATGAGACCAAATTTTAATGGATTATATTTACTTTTATATGTGTTAAGAAGTAATATTGTTGTTTTATATTTTATATGCTTATTGTATAGATTCTTAAAGGGAAATTTTAAATTCCTTGGATATAAAATATGATCAAGATCTGAAAACTTTAGCTGTCATATTATTAAGGTAGTATGTAGAGACATTTAAAGCTGTTTAGGCATTTAAAAAATTATTTCAAAGATTTATTTTTACATTTTATATTTTTATAATATAGGCATCAGTAATTTTCCCTCTTTGTTCCTTTTTTTTTTAAACAACTCCTTAAGGGCTGTACCCTACTCTTCCGCAGTCAGGCTGCAAACATTTGAGAAGTTAGCCTAAGCTTGATTCATGGAATGTTCCATCTTCTTAGAAAAGTGGTTGTGATCAGGGTTTATTTGCTATAATACAAGCTACTCCTTAAAGTAAAACAGTAGCTAAATCTATTCCCTAATGGCATTTCCCATACTACACACATTTACTGTTTTTAGCTTTAGTTTGAAAATTTGTTATTAATCAGAGTACTTCATAGTGCAACTCTGTGAATGTTTCTCTGTCATGTGCTGTGTACATCTGGCATTAAAAGCTATTCATACATGTATTTTTCCATGGCTCATCTAGGGGTCAGGCTCAGCCTCAGGAGCAATGATACCACTGAATTCAATGAATGTGGATGCAGTATGTGAGAAACTGAAACAAATAGAAGGGCTGGACCAGAGTATGCTGCCTCAGTATTGTGCAACCATCAAAAAGGTGATGTACAAATTTACCTGCCGACTGGAAGCAGGACTAAGGGTGTGGGCGATGGGGCTCCATGGACAACGAACACTCCGTTTTTAGCTTCTCAAAGATGGATGCTCTGTTGAAATAGGAAAGCTCCAAATGGAAACATGATTCTTACTATTTTGTATCCTAAAATTGCCCTATTATTTCTTAGTTTATAAATGGATAAAAGAAAATAAAGTAGCTGTATTACAATGTTATTTTTTAAATGACCTAATGTAAGTAGAAATGCCTTGATGAGAAATACAAAGCTCTATGGAGCATCACAGTTAGAGTAATAATAATTCATGTCTCCAGTATGCAGCATAGAACATTTGAAGCCTTTTTATATGTTATTTTCTTTGATTATATTACTTATTTGTGACTTAATAATTATCAGAGTAAACCACACTTCATTTTCCCCAAACTGTTACTTTTGTGTCTTAATAGGACTTACGAGTGTGTCCCATTTGATGAACCTCATAGGTTTGGTTAACACGTTTGAGGAAGTTTATTTCTTCCTGGGTCCTGTTCTTGCCCTTCTAGTAGCTACCATGAAGTTGGACAGTAATGCCTGGGATTGAGGGAAGGCTTCCCATGTTATGCAAGGCTGCGTCCCTGTTATAGTAGATATTTCCACTAAATACGCTTTTTATGTTTTTTCTAGCAGAGAACTATAGTAAAGTAAACATTAATAACAAGCCTCTAATGTTTGCATACTTTAAAGAATGGCATCTAAAAAGTTTTGTGAAGAATTATGAGCATGTATAGATACCATTTTACTAATCTCAGTCTACATTTAGGAAACATAAACTACGTTTACGTCAGTTTCCTTATAGCTCTGGCTAGTGCTAATCCCTGTTTGCAAAAGCATCAAGCACTGCCTTTCTGAGGTGCAAACCTGACTCCTCCAGGCAGCTTGGGTAGTGTCAGGAGAGGGTGAGGCCTCCAACTTGAATCCTTGGCAGTTTTGTTTCCATTATGACAGCATCTTCTTCCCACTCAGCTCTGCCGGCAGCCCTGGCTTCTGAGGCCCATCCTAGCGCCTGGTTTCTTAAGTGTGGCGAACTGCCTTGCATTTCTGCAGCAGGACCTCTGTCCCAGGACTGCTCTGTACACTCATGTCTTCAGAATTAACTTGGAGACTGAACATTCCATCAGTTTTAAACAGAAGTATTCCATCATTTTGCCACAGTTAATAAAGCCAGGTTGTGTATTTTGTAAAATCATCAAGCCACCTATTATTAATAAAGAAAATTCCATCTGTTCTTCTTTGGCAGAAATTAGAATTACAGAGACCCAATAGTGATACAGTCATTTTTGGTGAATTTAATAAATTGGGAAATTAGTGGGTGGACATTCTTTGGCTGAAGTTATCTAATATAACTGATAAACAAGCTTGTCAGAGTTTACTTCATTTAGAACTTTGTCTGACTGACATACTTACAAGGACAGACGTCTTTGCCCCCTCCCGGGAGCTTCGTTCCTGTTCATATTTTACAAGATTAGAGGAGAAAAACTAATGGTTTTGTTCATTGTTCATGGCAGTGTGTAGGGAGCTTTGGAAATAGTTTGGAGGGTTACCTCTTTGGTTGGTCCCTGAAGAGTGATTTGTTTTACTTTTGTGCTTACGACGCTTGGAAAAATACGGAGTGGCTGATGTTGTTCAAAGTCAGCATGCTTACGATATTATTACATAGGATAGTAAACTTGTTTAGGTCAATATTTTCTAGTCAGTAATGACTTTCTTAGTACTAAATATAAATGTACTTTTTAATCACTAATAATTCAGATACCTCCTGTTTTGTGTGTCTTTATACTTGCATTTATTTTTATTCAGGCAAACATAAATGGCCGTGTGTTAGCTCAGTGTAACATTGATGAACTGAAGAAAGAGATGAGTATGAATTTTGGGGACTGGCATCTTTTTAGAAGCACAGTAAGATATTTTATGTTTATAGAATTATGTATAATATTGTATGAGGCAAGTGTTAATCATTACTGGTCCAAACTGCTGTTTTTCTGTATTTTTAAAAAACATGTAACAAATGCATTTTACACTTAAGTACGACCCTTGTCTATTATGTTATGCAGAACATACATAGCAGCATGTGGTAACCTTTCCTTTGGGCATTTCACTTGGAGATTTGGGGAAGAGGTGACCTGCTGATTCTCCATGCTTTCATTGACGAAGGTTTTCTCTTTGAACTGCCTCTAGTCAGGCTCCCTAAGCCTCTAGGCCTCGATCTTGGTGTCTATCCTTGTCAGGCCTGCATCGCCCAGTTTTAGCAAGGATCATCATGTTAAGTCAGTTTAGGAACAACCCCCACCCTCACTATCTGATCATCCTTCATCCGTGATCAAACTCCTCATTCCCCACCAACCCCACAGATGATATCTGATCACGCTGGCCTGCCTTCAGCGAGAATCCTGTCAAGTTGGTTCAGTCAGAATTCCCCCTTAACCTTGATGTTTCCTCTTAGCAATTTTCTACCCACTGACCCCCACCCCACTGCTTGCTATAAATGCCTTCTCGTCCATGCTGCTTTTTGGATTGAGGCCAATTCTATCCTGAGGTCTCTTTTCGCCCGTTGGAGTAGTTTCTGATTAGAATCTGCTTTCACCACATTAGCCACTGTCCAGCTCTGGTTTTCTTTGACACACTACAGTTGCATTCTGTTTTGTTCTCCAGTTAAATTTTAAACTAAAATAATAATAACATAATGGTCAAATTAGAGTGCAATACTTATATGATGGTTTTGCCATTCCTTCTTTTAGTATAATTGAAATGAACGATAAGCAGATATATTTCAAATTCACTAGAAACTCACAAGAAGTCTGCTTTCTCATTTTCATTGTAATAACTATAATGTTTTATTTTTAAAAATATTTTCTAAAGTTTCTAAAATGTGATTGCTCAGTGTGGATATTAATGTTATTTTTTTTCTTCTGTTAAGGTACTAGAAATGAGAAATGCAGAAAACCAAGTGGTCCCTGAAGACCCACGTTTACTTAGTGAAAACAACAGTGGCCCAGTTACTCATGGTGAATCTGCTCGTCGCTCTTCACACAACGAATTGCCTCATACCGAGCTTTCCAATCAAACTCCCTACACACTGAACTTTAGCTTTGAAGAACTGAATACACTTGGCCTAGATGAAGGTGCCACACGTCACAGTAATCTAAGTTGGCAGGTATTTATTAAATGTCATTTTTCATATTACTGAAGAGGAGTAGGGCGATTTTAATTCACTGAGAATATGTTGGTGCATTTATGTAGTCATTCAGAAAATACTTAATGAATACTTCAGTGGACAAGACAGAGGGCTCCCTATTCTTAAGGAACTGTATTTTTCTGAAGAGGACAGTGAGTAAAACAAAGCAAAAAAATAAGATCTTTTTGGAAATTGGCAAGAACTGTCAAAGCAATAAACTAGGGTAATGGCACAGAGAGGCAATGGGAACTGGGCTGCTTTGGTTAGGCTGGTTAGCAGAGTTCAGGCGTCACTTGCTATATTCTTGTTAAATTCATTCATCAGTGGCTAAGATACATCCATTTTGGAAATTTACCATATATTATCCCTTTGAGCAGCATGATCTGGTTTTCAGTACCTATACCCAGTATTCATGGATATTCATTTTATTTCTGTTATCTGATACTAGATATGGATGACTTTCTTCTTTGGATGTTCTTAGCAGACAGGAGCCTGGGGAGGATCAGGAATAAAGAAGAAAGTGAGAGACACATGAGAAGGAGTAAGGAGAGAATAAGAAAAATAAACTAGGGAAAAACAGAGTAGGATGCAGAAAAGAGAGGAGACAAGCCAAGGAGGAAACGCAGTAAGTAGCTGCAGAGAGAAACTGTGCTGACAGGGAGCAGTATTTAGGAAAAGCAGCACCTGGTAGGTCTACCATTTTTAAGGCAGTTTGGTTTGGCTTGGTACTAAAAACATTTTTTTGTTGTCAGTATCTTTTTATATTACCAAGTACCTTTTTCTTTATGTTGGGAAACTATTTTATCATTGGGTACTGACTGAGATAAAAATTCCCTTTTATGAGAAGATAAGTTCACACTTGACCCTTTTGTCCCTGTGTTTCTGCAGCAGTGCTTCCTTTCTTTTCCCTGGGATTCCTTTTAGCATTACATAAGAAATCCTCCTTCTCTGCTTTTCCACACTTGGTATTTCCTCCCGTGACCTGGGAACTCCTAGCCTTCCCATCCATGCAGCAGCTCTCCAACAGTCTTGTAATCTCAGAGTCCCCTTGCACTTTTAAAAATGATTGAACACCCCAGAGAGCTTTTGTTTATGTAAGTTGTATCTGTATATTACATTAGAAATAAAAACTGAGAAACTTTAGAAATACTTACTAATTTATTTAAAAATAAACCACTTATGTGTTAACATAAATAACATTTTTATTAGAAATGGCAATATCTTCCAAAACAAGACAAACTTTAGTGAAAATGGGATTGCTTTGCAAATCTCTTTGGTGCCTGGCTCAATAGAAGGCAACCAGACCCACTGCCCCATATCTGCTTCTGCATTAAATCTCTTGTGACCTCACACACCGTGGACCTCTGGAAGCCCCACTGGACACACTGGGGACGAGAGTGAGAGGCACTGGTATTGTCCTGTGATGCTCTGATGAGAGTTGTTTAGACCTCCTGGGTCCCCGAAGTGGTGTGTACACACTGCATTTGAGAGCGGAGATGGCGCTGTCCATACAGTCCGAATCCACTTGCAGGAGACCTTCTCAAGGAGATGGGTCGTTTTCTTCCTGTGGAAGGAAGACTCTTGGCCTTATTTCTGCTTCTTTGCTTCATTCAGCCTTTACTCTTATCCCTTCTTAGACTCCTTGGTTCTTTTTCTTCCATTTCCCTCCTCTTTTTCCTAATCTGTATTCTTTACTCCTCCCTTACCAGCTTTTCTGAGATCTAAAGCAACTCTAATCCTAAAACTTCACATTGGAAATCAAACTTTTAAAAATACTTAATTTCTCTGTTTACTAGGACCTGACTGTTGGCCTCATGGCTTCCATTTCTGTTGATTTGGATCCTGTATTTGTCTTTTCTGTTGCACCCTATACTTTATTCCTTTTAAATTATTATTATTATTTTTTGACATTTAGAGTACATTTTCCCAATTGAAAATTGTGTCGTACAAGTTGAGAAAGGTTCTTTTTTTTTTTAAGATATTTAGTGAATACTTCTTTTTTTTCTATTTAAAACTATTTTTTTTAACTCCAATAACCAGTGCTCATCAGAGAAAGGTTCTTTTTAACATACATTGAAAACTTGACTGTTTTGTTTTTGAGATATATCTTAACTCTAATCTTCTTTGTCTTTTCTAAGAGGAATTTTTATATTTTATCAATGAAGGTGACTTTTACCTTAAATAAAAGCTAAAAGTTTAAAGTGATAAAAATAGGTGCTAAGATTATTTGTTAATACAACCTTTAATTATACTTTTAAATATTAATAATAAACTAACTTTATTAAAATTTATATAAAGCTTTCTAATAACAGTAAAATTATCTGTAAGTTCACAGCTTTCATTAAACTGTCTTATGTAGAATTATTTTAAAAGAATTTGGTATTTTGAGGACTTTAAAAATTCTGAGTGTACATATATATTTCCTAAGTTGATATTTATTATGCCTTTTTTTTTTTTGCTTATTTGCATTTTTAAATTTATTTTTTTCTGTCTTCACAGTCACAAACTCGCAGAACCCCAAGTCTTTCGAGTCTCAATTCCCAGGATTCCAGTATTGAAATTTCAAAGCTTACTGATAAGGTGCAGGCCGAGTATAGAGATGCCTATAGAGAATATATTGCTCAGATGTCTCAGTTAGAAGGGGGTACAGGTTCCACAACAATTAGTGGCAGATCTTCTCCACATAGCACATACTATATGGGTCAGAGTTCATCAGGGGGCTCTATTCATTCTAATCTAGAACCGGAGAAAGGGAAGGATAGTGAACCAAAGCAAGATGATGGGAGGAAGTCATTTTTAATGAAGAGGGGAGATGTTATAGATTATTCTTCATCAGGGGTTTCCACTAATGATGCCTCACCCCTGGATCCTATTACTGAAGAAGATGAGAAATCTGATCAGTCAGGCAGTAAGCTTCTCCCAGGCAAGAAGTCCTCAGAAAGGTCAAGCCTCTTCCAGACAGATTTGAAGCTTAAGGGAGGTGGACTGCGCTATCAAAAACTTCCAAGTGATGAGGATGAATCTGGGACAGAAGAATCAGATAATACTCCACTGCTCAAAGATGATAAAGATAAAAAAATTGAAGGGAAAGTAGAGAGAGTATCAAAGTCTCCAGAACACAGTGCTGAGCCGATTAGAACCTTCATTAAAGCAAAAGAATATTTGTCAGATGCCCTCCTTGACAAAAAGGACTCATCTGATTCAGGAGTGAGATCCAGCGAAAGTTCTCCCAATCACTCTCTTCACAATGAAGGGGCTGATGATTCCCAGCTTGAAAAGGCAAATCTCATTGAGCTTGAAGATGATAGCCACAGTGGAAAACGGGGAATACCACATAGCTTGAGTGGCCTGCAAGATCCAGTTATAGCTCGGATGTCCATTTGTTCTGAAGACAAGAAAAGCCCTTCCGAATGTAGCTTGATCGCCAGCAGTCCTGAAGAAAACTGGCCAGCATGTCAAAAAGCCTATAATCTGAATCGAACACCCAGTACTGTGACTCTGAACAACAACAGTGCACCAGCTAACAGATCCAATCAGAATTTTGATGAAATGGAAGGAATGAGGGAGACTTCGCAAGTCATTCTGAGGCCTGGTTCCAGTTCCAACCCAGCTGCTATTCAGAATGAAAACCTAAAAAGCATGACGCATAAGCGAGGCCAGCGTTCAAGTTACACAAGGCTCTCCAAGGATTCTTCAGAGCTTCACGCAGTGGCCTCTTCTGATAGTGCAGGCTTCGGAGAGGAAAGAGAAAGCATTCTTTAAGAGAAATACGCAAAAGCAGAATAGTACTACTCTACCCCTATGACAGAATTGACCTGAGTTTATAGTGAAACCATCCATGCGTGTCATCTTTGTATTTCATTCACAAATAATTAACAAATGGGAAAGTCTTTGGTAAAAAAAGCGTACACTATACAACAGTGGAAAGTATAAGAAAGGGTGGTTGATCAGTCAGCCTCCACTGTCCTTGTAATTAGAAGCTTAAAAACTCGTTGTTATTGGAACTTTCATTGGCACACAACCCCATAAAATTTTTTGAGACAAGATCTAAGTATAAAGAGAGGTCAGAAATATTATTAGATAGAAAGGGTGTGATTTGCCAAAGAAAATGGAAAGCTAGACACCCCTTTTGTACAACATTCATTCATCAAATATTCAAAGGAAGACATGGTGTTAGATGAACCAGAAGCAAATTTTGCTCTTAGAGGGTAGAAGATAAGAATTTGTAGGTTATGGAGTAGCCTAGAGACTAAATGCTCTATAAATTGAGAACCAGTGTTGTATATAATAGACATATTGTTTAACAAGGGCTTTAAAAATTGATAGAAGATGAATGAACAGTGCTCAAAATAGAGCCCCAGTGACAAGACCTTTTTGAGCTGCTAGGAGAGTGGCCTGTGGGCTCGTCTCCAAATCCCAGACCTGGCTATAAGCACCATCCACCAGCTTGAGAACCCATGCTGGTCTCTTCTGTGACTCTTTTAAATGGTATGCCCAACTTTTCTTAGCCTAGCAATGAGAGGGAAAAATGTGAATTCTTTCTCTGGAGAATCAGGGAGACATGGGTAATAATAGGCTCTAATAAATATTCATGGACCAAGAGAATAAGGAAATAATTACATCAGAAAGGTCAGTGTCACTTGACAGATGACAAGGAAATATTTAATTAGGTAAAACTAAATTATTGTCTTCTATACCAGAGTAGAGTATATCTATCTACTTCATCTATTCCAAAACTAACATGCTAACCTCGGGAGGACCATAAGAAAGGATATACTTCTTTAAAATGTTTTAAACTATAACAAAGCAAGGGTAAAAAGCAGATAAAACTGGTGAGACTTTCCATTTATTGTTAGCAGGGTTAAGAGAATGATCACATATAAGTATCGTATGGACTAGAAGTGGACCCTATCATCATGCATTGAATTTTTTTGTTGTTGTTTTAACTTAGCCTATTTATGTAGAATTAATTTTGGCAGTATATACTCAGTCACAGATAAGATCGTAGATGGTGAGATCGTAGAATGTGCAATTACCCAAATTTAGTGTTACATTTGTGATGGTTTTCACTTAATAGATTTTTATTAATACACTGAATAAATTATTTAGTGGACTAGTCATTGCACTAAATAGTTGCTGTTTTGGGTTTCATTGCCTTGATGTTTGAGTATAATCTAACATTTCCTTAAAGTGTTTATTTCGCATGACTTTAACAAATGGTTTTAACCAATTAAAAAAAGGCAGGATGTTATTGACATTATATATTGAAATGTTAACATTTTAGTATTTACAGTGCTTTAGTTCACAATATTGTATAATTAGTAATTATTTCAGAGGTGATATTTTGTTCTTTCTCCGGTGAGTAGGTGCAGCTTGATACCATTGTCGTACATTCTTTACGCTGTTTGTGAAGTTAATACTAGAGTATTAAGTGTACAAATAGATTTAGAAAACAATAAAAAAATTGCATGTTATTCTGACTCATGAATTTTTATTCACTACAGTGATGATTGACATTTTGATTACAAATAAAAGAGTACTTTGTGTGTTTTGTCGTATGTGTGTACAGTTTGTGAAGGATGTTCAGGTTCACAGGGCAGACGTGTGCTGAGCTGCCCGTAGTCCTTTGGAGAGAGCATGGCTCCTAGGTCCCCGCACCTGAATGGTGCCGTGGCATCCATGCCCGACGGCACAGCGCTCCACCGTGCATTTCTGTAGCTACAAGAAGTAGCTCGTCCAGATCCTGGGAGGATATCGACTTCATTTGTTATATGAGCATTGTGGAAAAGTTTTCTTCTCATACTGTTAACAGAAATTGACAAACCAGATGGCTTGTTGAGTCATACCATCATTCCTTTGAACCTCTGTCTATGTGTGCATGTATGTGTGTCTATTTATACTGTATAGCTCAGTCTGATCCTCACATATACAAAACTCTGCTTTAAGCTGGGTGGAAAATGATAGAAAAGAAAATTGGTGCTTTAATCTTGCTAGTCCCTTCGATTCTGTGTCACTTAGAGTCTTACCATATTTTATAAACCATTCTGCCTCCACCATAAGCCACAGATAGTTCTGTTCACATAGCAGAACATTAAGCCCAGTCATTCACCTTGGACATGTGGAGTGGTGCATAGGAGTACAGCCCTCCTGCAGGGGAGACTGGAAATGGAAGGAAGCTATTGACATCTCTCAATTGATATGATTTTCACAGTGCTGAACATGTAAGGTCAGCTCTCAAATTCTGGGAAATTTAAGCATTTGTAACTGAACCAACATTTCCAAAATTGACGGGAAAATCTGTTTTTGTGTGATATTTTATTTGTGAGTTTTAGATAGCAGTCAATAATTTTAATTGCCTAGCCAAGTAATTTTAGAAATTTATTTGCTAAAATTCTCAACTTGAGGATCATTTGCATGTTGTAGTGCTTCAGTAAAATACATTTGTAATCATGATTTTTTTTTTCTTATAAATACTAACCATTAGAAAATACTGTTTGAATGAAATTAAATTCTTTATTCTTCTGGCTAAAATACTAAACTTAAAAGGTTTTAAGACTAGATAATTTTTGGTTATACCAGGAATTCTCAGCCTATTTAGAAGTATCCCAGAGTTTAAAAATCCCTGAATTCCTGGCTCACTCTTGAGTAAATCAACACAACTACCCGGAAAAGAGGGAACTAGAGGTCACTGTCCCCTTCACTTTGTGGGTGAGTGACACTGAGGGAAAAGGGGGTAAAAGGGAAGGTGCGATAAAATTAATTTTGGCAAACACTTGAGACTGAACATCTAGGCTCCCTTAATCCCTACCTGCCCTTTTAGACTTACGCTGACACTCGGCAGAAGGGAAGAAGCAGGTGGGGAAACTTTCTTGCTTGGGGGTATGGGTGAGGGCTGGCTAGCCTGGGGTGGGCTATTTGAAATGATTGTATTTTTAATTTCCTGGTGGTGGTGTCCCCTACCCTTCCCTACCCCATAATTTCAAGCCTAGGCCATAATTATGGAAAATTAATTGAAAAATAGAAATTTATATATAACAGTGAGCCTGCACTGGATGGTCTTTTAATGGTTCAGCACTTCAGAAAGGTTGAGAATCCTTGGTTGAGACTGATTAACTAGAAAGAGAAGTTAAAATCTTACGTAATTTTAAACCCTTTCATGTTTAGGAAGAAAATGCGGCCCTTGAAATAGATACATCTTCAGAGGATCCAATTTAAACTAAGGTACGTAAAAAATTAGTTTTCAAATTCAACTAGTTTTAAGCCAGTTTTTAGACACAATTCTCACCAATTAGAGTATATTCTTACTGCTTTAAGAAACAGAGTTAAGTAAGAAACATCTAAAACCATCACTAGAAACGAACTGCTGTCCTCTACACAGCCAAAACTTTGTAAGTAAAATTACTAGTAAAGCACAGTCTTGGTTTACACCGTCCTGAGTCCTCTGTGCCCAGGTCCCCCTGTGGTGGCTGAAAGGTTTCATTAATTCAGCCTTACTCGAACTCGGAGCAGAGCTTCTTGAATGGGGCTTGGGTGGCTTGTATGATTAGCTCCACCTTGAATTTCCCGTTACAGTGAGGCATCAAGAAAATAAAGAATTTATAAGAACATAAAAGGGTCCTGGAGAAGGAAGAGCAATTATTTCTAGACTCTTAGTAGTATGACTGTTGAAAAAGTCCATGAAAATGTCAATGATTTGATCTCACTGAAGACCAAAGTTGGCAGAAATGTGAATTACACAATCTGTGTGATAAAAGGCGGTGTGACTGTTTTCAAGCACACAGTATTCTGAATGTGCCTATGGAGTGTAATCAGCATTTGTTTACAGAGAACACACTTAAGTCCTGAATTTTCTGAGTCTGAATATGGTTTTTGTAGTGCTACTTATATCAGTGATAGACATCAGGAGCCCTTTCTTAGTTTTGCCAAGATTTAACAAAATGTGAAATAATATATGAAACCAAATTATTAAAATTTGAATAAATGACCTTTTACTATTAAAACAAATATAGAATTACATGCTCCATATTATTCAAATTAAACTGTTTGAAATAACTAAGATCGTCTTGATTACCCACTATCATTTTCTAATTCTAACATTTTATACTTATTTACCTTGTTTTCTTTCAAGGCAACAGGGGCTCTAGATCTTAGTACCTTGCCCGTAGACCATTTCTCGTGACAATTCGGTTAGCTTCTCACGGTCGGCTTCCTCACCAAACCTAAGGGGGTCAAGAAGATACTACCTACCACTCAGTAATCCTGCTACCCAGTCGCTGGAGAAGAGAGATTTGTTCACCTCTACCAGTTTTCTTTCCTAGTAGTTGTAAAATTTGAATTAGTTTTAATGAAGTTTTCTGTTTATGAAATTCTAGATAAAAGCCCAAATGTATAGCAAAAAGCATGTCAATGAACTTCATAAAACCCGACATTTCTATCTTCTAGCATCTTCTTGGTCAAATATGTAATAAAAAGTTAGATTGTTATTTTTAAAATTCTAGCTCCTGACACTAGCACGTTTTTAGCTAGCATGTTTCTGAGAACGCATACAATGTATATTGTTATAGTTAATGCACATTAAACTCTGTGTTCTTTAAAAAGTTATTTTCTTTTTGAATTCTTTGTGTTTTTCTTCCTCTACCTTTAACCTGACTTCTTTTCGCTTTTTTTCTTAAGTTCTTTTTTTTTTATATTGTCATATATTTATCCTATTTTACCATAAAGCATCCCTTAGCAGAATGGGACAGAACCTCAAGACAGCTTTTAGACCAAATCTTGGATTTCAGATAGCCAGTGGACCTCGAGTCAGTACTTGTCAAGTGAGTGAATAAAGTCTACCGTAAACTTGGAGAGTCTGCCCACAGATCCTACACTGTGTCTTAAAAATGCTGAATTGGAATGCCTTAACCCTGTGGCTTTGTGCTATAGTTCCTTACAGGCCCCCAGGGTTCCCTATCACTTTATCCCCGCCCTGCTACCTGTCTGGCGGCTGTAAGCTTTTCTGTCTGGGACTCTGGGAGTCTGTCAGGACATTTATACCAGGCTTTGCTAAAAACTCCCGTGGAGGGATATCCACAGCGCAACCTGATAAGCGCTATCACTTTAGAGTGCTAGGCCCTGTGTCCTGTGGGGATGTGTTTGTAATCCTCTCTGCACTTTAAGCTCTTTGTTTGGTACTTTGTGGAGATGCTCATCTTCAAAATTAATATAATTGTGCAGTCAGATTAAAATGCTTCACTTTATGTTTTACTTTAGGACGTTGAAAAAATTTCGAGTATGACTTAGCATGAGCATGTTTTCTCTGAGCCCAATGGGGGTACATCGTTATTAGGAGAACATTTAATATCAGGCCATCTCAGAGAACTTGGTATGTAGGTTCACCTTATCTATAGCTCAGTCTTCCAACCTTTCTTTTAGTAGCATTATTTATTATTTTCACTGACCACCCCTCATTGCTCTCTGTCATTTATCTCAGGTTGATCACTCTAAGTTTGACCAAGAATGAGCATGTTATTCTGGGATTCTATACTGAATATTTTATATATGAGCGGGCCATTGTGTGTTGCTTGAAAATTTCTTTAGTAAGATAGGCTAACTGCTCTTAACAACCGCCCAATCTCATTGACTTAATACCATTGAAGTTTATTTCTTATTCCTGTGACAGTCACTGTCATCTAAATTGACATAAAGACTTGGAGACCCATGCTCCTTCATCTGTGGCCTCACCAGGCTCCAAGGCTTCAGAGTCCTCGGGCCCATCTCACGCATTCCGTGAGCACAGAGGGGAGCAGAGAGGGTAGAGGACCGCACACCAGCCGTGTGCATGGTCCAGCAGGGAGGTGGTGTATACCCCTTCCACTGGCCTTCCTGAGTCCTGTGGTGGCTGTGAACTGCCGGGGATGCTAGGGTGTGAACTGCATGCCCTGCAGGAAGAGCGAACATTTTGGGGAGCATGCAGGAGCCTTTTCTACTTAGATACTTGACTTGGATTATCTGCGGCAGATTGAACACCATGACTCATCTTGTTTTCCACTTTAATAGCAGTTCCTTCTTTTTGTTGACCTCTCTTTTAAATTTTACTTTGTATGCAGTTTTCTTTCTGGTAGGGAAGTCTGTTAAAATCAGAACACCTAACCTAGAAGAAGGATTTTAGGGCAGGGTGGTTTCCAATTAGCCGGTTCTTTCTGTGCACCCAAGAAACTTAACAAGATTTCTGATGTGGAACAGGCTGCAGGAAGAATTTCACAAGGTAAGAATGGGAAAAGAATGAAGTTTCACAACTCCCCTAGAATGCTTTTCTATCCAAAGACTCTGAAACCATCCAGAATCTGCCTGACTTTCTGTTGCTATCGATTCTTTGAAATCTCTTCCTCCTGGAACAGGGGCAACAGCGACTCTCGGTTGCTTTTCCTTGTAGTGAGAGGTGGTAGCTTGTGGTACTGGGAGGCTCCTGGCCCCAGGGGGGGGGGGGGGGGGGGCTGCTGGTTCACAAAGATGCAAAACCCCTGCTAGCGACCACTCCTGCCCGAGAAATAGCGCCCCTGCCCTTAGAAGTCAGTGGGAATTAGACTTCATGTCCACAATTTTGTCTTTAAATGAACTCTCTGCAGTCTAACTCTGTTGACCACTTTCCAGTTTTTTCTTACCAGTACATCCTCGGTTCCAAGATGCACGTTTTTTCACTTTTTGACTTTTCTGAAATGTTTTGACAACCGGCAGCATTTTTCTTTAGCCTTTCCTAAAGTAAGGATACATCCTACAGTTGATGGAGTCCTGTTTGGATTCATAAAGGACAATATTACTTTAGTATATGGCATGGTCATGCTGGATTGCACTTTAGCAATAGCAATGAGCTAGTGGTGATGTATATTTCACTGACCTCCAAAAGTCAACATTTTATGCCAAGTATTTGTGTTATCAGTTATTAGTCCTCCTATATTCATTTTAGATATTTAAAATATTGTTATGCATTTATTATAATAAAAATAGCTTACATTTATTGAACACACATGCACCTGACAATGTTCTAAGACCTCTACACATTAACTAATTTAATCTTCACCATAACTTCATGAAGTAATTACTATTATTTTCAATTTGCAAATGAGAAACTGAGTGACAGAGAGATTGATTTCCCAAGGTCACACGGCTACTAAGTGGTGAAGCTACAATTCAAGCCACGCAGCGTGGCTCCAGAATGCCCACTCTTCATGCTATGTCTTTTGTTCTTTAGCTAATTAGGGATGAATCAATTCTCACATTTTTCAAGATAGATTTTAATTTTAGCTTTCTTTGCTGTATCATCATCGTCTATTTGTTTCAAAATAGGATTTGGGGTCTCTCAGACAGCTTTCTGTTTTGTTTTAGAAAGATAAAGATCTAAAAAAAAATCTAGGGGCGCCTGGGTGGCTCAGTCGTTGGGCGTCTGCCTTCGGCTCAGGTCATGGTCCCAGGGTCCTGGGATCGAGCCCCGCATCGAGCTCCCTGCTCGGCGGGAAGCCTGCTTCTCCCTCTCCCACTCCCCCTGCTTGTGTTCCCTCTCTCTTGCTGTGTCTCTGTCAAATAAATAAATAAAATCTTTAAAAAAAAAAAAATCTATAGCCATGTAAATTCCATTTATAGAGAAAAAATTGATTAGCATCAAACATCTTTGTTCCTACTAATTATTTTAGAAGAATGTTGGATTTTTGGTTAAAAATTTATTGACTTCTTTGAAAAGGTCTTTTTATTATTATTATTCATGGATTAGACCACTACATTAAAGTTTGCACATTATGTTGAAAATATTCATTTTATTTGCAGTCTTATTGTTATATGGCTTTCATACATTTGCTCTTCCATATGTCTATTATCAATATTCTGTGTTAGATTATAATCCTAAATACCACTATATGTATTTTTCTTTATATCCTATTATCAGAATTAATGCTTAATAAATGTTAATAGGTAAGTAATATATGTCTATTTAAAAATCATTACTGCAGTAGTTTTTTTTTTTTTTAAGTGATTCTGGCCACTGCCTCCTAAGGAAAGAAAGGAAAATAGGCAAAGCTGGACTCATAAAGCTGTATTTCATAATGACCACTAGTCACTAATTGCGAGAAGCCAATAGATACATCAGTAATAGTGGAAAGACAGTGCATTGAGATGGTGGTTGAGTAACAGTATAGTTTTGTATAATTATCTGCCTAATAATGTGAGTGCTTACTTGAGCCAGATACTGTTATAAGTACTTCACATGGGCTAACTCATTACATTCTAACCAGCCGATAAAGTAGATCCTGTTATCATCCCTACTTTACAGATGCAGAGACTGCAATGCAGGAAGTTATAACTTTTACATAGATTTATATGCATTATATTTTTATAACTGTTTCCTAAAATATTGGCATTATTAGTATTATTATCTTAGTTTTTCAGAAAACTGAAGATTTGGGGGTTTGAGGCCCATCCAGCCCTTGACCCTACCCCCAGGGTCACCCAGCAAGTAAACAGAACAAAAACACCAACCCTGGTTTTCTGCCTCCAAATTTCATGATTTTCCCATCACACACCACACTGCCTACCTCTCTTCCCCCAGTAACCCCTCACTGGGCGCTGCATGGGTCTGTGATGCTTCTGTTTTCCATTCCCTCACCAGAGAAAACGTCAGTGGAGAGTAGTAAACATACCTGAGTCTTCACGTTCAGCTGAATGAATCTCAGGTTTCCCAAAGAAGCTCTCTGTCCTTCCTCTGTGCTGTTCCCCCGAACCACGGCTGCCTTGATGCTGGGCAGTAAAGTGCAGTCCAGACCTGCAGGTCATCCTGGACCTGTGAATCCTTGCGTATCTCAGAACGAGTCCCCTGTTTGGCTATACCGTCCTCGCTGACGGGATCTCCTGAACTGAACTCCATTCATTTGGTATAAATGACCAAGGTGAAATATTTAAACTGGTTCTGTGTGTGCGTGTGCGTGCGTGTGCATGTGTGTGTGTGTGCATACACGCATGTGCATATGCGTGTGCATGTATTAAAATTCTACCTTGCCAGATAGCTGCTTTGTTTTAGCCCATCACTGAATTAGGGAGTCAGTTGGTCAATCCGTCACTGGTGAAGGAACACAGAACTGAGTCTCAAGGCTTCAGTGATGGGCCTGGCTCTGCTACTTATTTGTCAGATGGCCATTTACTTGTCTGCCTTAGTTTCTTCATTTAGTAAACATAGAAATGATGGAGGAAAGAGGATTTCCTCCTTTGGTAGCCGGTGTCACTTCCCCAGAGTTTACTATGTGTTGGCTCCTTGCACACGGTAGCTCTCTGATCTTTGCAATAATATTTAGGGGTGGATGTTTCTCCTATCTTACAAACAGGGGAACTAAAGCTGAGAAAAGTTAAAAACCTTGCCCAGTGTCTTGTTGTTATGTGTTAGAGCAAAAATCTGAACTCAGGTCTGACACCAAAGCCATTGAATGTGTCCCCAGCTATCCATGTGCCTCTCCAAGGATGTACGTGAACTCAGGTTGCAGACACTCAGCACCCAGAGCGAAAACGCTGTGGTCATCCAGTCCAGCCCTCTCGGATTTACCCACAGGGAAATTATGAAGTGGTCGTATCACTACAACTGT